TCAAATAAAAATAATAAACCTAGAAGAAAAAGAAATTGCAAGGTCCAGAAAGCAAAGAGGAAGCACCTGCACTGAGGGTTGAGGGATGAGGCTTGAACAAGTGGGGAGCAGGGACATGGCTACCTCTCCTGCCATGTGGGAGGGAAGATCAGCCGTGAAGAGACGGAGGGATTACTGTCGCAATTTTAAGATGGGAGAGGTCCAGGGCTGTTGACAGGAAGAGGCCAAATAGGGAGAGACTGCAAATTCAGCAGAGATGCTGGAGTGGAGGACATTAGCCTTCCCTCCACCCGCAAGACAGGGAAGTCAGAGAGCAGTAAGAACACTGGAATCTGGGCAGGCAAAAAGTGAAGGAAAAAAATCTGAAACCCTGGACCATGAAACAGTCCAGCTGCGTAGTTCTAAAATAATTGTAGGGGTAGGAGGATGAGCCAGTGAGAGAACAGCTGGGTGCCTGGCACGAGCTGGCAGGTGCACTAAGCAAGAGCTTTAGTGAACTAGTCAGAGCTTTTGTGTTTCTTCCCCCTACAGTGTAACCTCGCCAGCTGACAGCCTCTCACTGTATCCATGGGCTCATCCACAGTAAATGGTGACAAGAGCAAGACCCACAAGGTGGGCACTGGCACAGCAGTTCAGACACTGTTTGTGATGCTCACATCCCATACCAGGGTACCTCGGCACAAGTGCCAGTGCTACTCCTGAGGGAGGGGCCAGAAAAAGCCCACTGGGCTCCTAGTGACAACAAAACTACACCTTTTTCCTTCTTAGCAAGCCTTCTCTCTAGGTGGCCTCAGGTCAGCCTGACCTGGCCTTTTTTTGTTTTGTTCTTGTTTTTGTTTTTGTTTTTGTTTTGTTTTGTTTTTGCCACAGCCCTTTGCATCTCAGAGCTGGGGATGCAAGATACTTATGGGAGGGAGGTTGCCTGGTCCTTGTCATTCACATGGTCATCGGGCCCCTGATTTATTTTCCTTTTGAACTTCCACCAAACCCAGAATCTGCTGGTCTGACCTTGGTGGGAAAGAACTCCATGGAGCCTTGGGCACTTACCAGGTTGGGATAGCAGCGATAGAGAACACATGGCCGCTCACTGCCTGCTTGTTAGCACACAGACCTGCTTGCAGTGCAATCTCATTTCTTCGCTGTTTCCACTGACTTAAAGGAAGAAGGAATCCTTTGGTTTTCTTTTAATGCATCAGGCATAGCTCTGAGCACTCGATGTGAACAAGTCAGACCACAGTGCACCTCTCTGCAGCTTACTCTGGTGGGAGAGGAAGGACAGGAAACAAGAGGATTTCCCAGCAAGGGCACGAGGGGCCCGTGGCTGCACAGTGCAGGCTGTGATCAGAGCCTGCCACCACATGCGGAGCCACCTGTTTCCTAGAAAGGATGAGGAGATGCAAGGGAGGCTGCGAGGATGTAAATGATGCAGGACTGTGTCGTTAAAGCCGCTCAGAGGCATGTCCTAGGAGGACTGAGGGTGAGCAGGATGTGGCCCACCAGTGCAGAGTTAAAAACGAAAGGTAGGGCCTGGCATGACAGTGTGGTGGTTAGGGTCCTTACCTTGCACGCGCCGGGATCCCATATGGGCACCGGTTCTAATCCTGGTGGCCCCACTTCCCATCCAGCCTGTGGCCTGGGAAAGCAGTAGAGGACGGCCCACAGCCTTGGGACCCTGCACCCGCGTGGGAGACCAGAAAAAAGCTCCTGGTTCCTGGCTCCTGGCTTCGGATCAGCACAACACCAGCCATTGCGGTCACTTGGGGAGTGAATCATCACACAGAAGATCTTTCTCTCTGTCTCTCCTCCTCTGTATATATCTGACTTTTCAATAAAAATAAATAAATCTTTTTTTAAAAAACCAAAATGTAATAAACAGGGCTCATTGCCAACTACAATGCTTTGAGCAGGCTAAATAGCATACATGACCTTTAGCACTGATGGACCCCAATGCCCATGAGTCAGGACCAAGAGCTGAAAAGCAAACCCAGGCAGTCTGATACAGAATTCAAGCATGTTAATGGGTAGGCCAACTGCCCACCAGAGCTTTCTCCTTTCCAGAGACTTCTATACTGTCTCCATAATGGCTATACTAATTAATATTCCCACTAACAGTGGGCAAAGCTTCCATTTACTCCAGATTCATGATAACACTTATTTTTCTTTAACATTTATTTATTTTTGTTGGAAAGGCAGATTTACAGAGAGAAGGAGAGATAAGGATCTCCCAACTGCTGGTTCATTCCCAAACTGACTACAACAGCTGGAGCTGAGCTGATCTAAAACCAGGAGCCAAAGGCTTCTTCCAGGTCTTCCATGCCAATGACAGGTCCCAAGACTCTGGGCCATCCTTTATTGCTTTCCCAGGAAGCTGGGGCCCAGCACAGTAGCCTAGTGGCTAAAGCCCTTGCCTTACACATGCCAGAATCTCATGTGGGTGCTGGTTCTAATCCCAACAGCCCTGCTACCCATCCAGCTCCCTGCTTGTGGCCTGGGAAAGCAGTCAAGGATGGCCCAAGGCCTTGGGATCTTGCACTGCACTTAAGACCCAGAAGAGGCTCTAGGCTCCTGGCTTCAGATCAGCTCAGCTCCAGCCGTTGTGGCCGCTTAGGGAGTGAATCATTGGATGGAAGATCTTCCTGTCTCTCCTTCCCCTTGTATATCTGACTTTGCAATAAAAAAAATAAATCTTTTAAAAATACATATTTTATTCTATTGCCTATTTTTAAAATTGGCTTGTTTGCTTGCTACTGAGGTGTGTTTTTGATTAAAAATATTTTGGATGTTAAGCCCTTATCATATGCATGGTTTGCAAGTATCTTCTCCTATTCTGTAGGTTGCCTTTTCTTTTGTTTATCCACTCATCTCACGTCCAGGTATACATCCAGAGGAGATGAAATCAGTATGGCCGCTGAGCTACTGCACTCCTCCGTGAACGGCAGCAGTTGACACGATGTAGAATGAACCTAACTGTGCCCCAACAGATGCATCAAGAAGATGTACTGCTTATATTATACAGCAGTGAATGCTACTCAGCCGTACTGAAGGAAATCCCGCTGGTGACAGACAACAGAGTGCTGAGTGTTAACTAACTTGTGGCAATCACCTCATAACGTATTCACATATCAAAAACAATTCTTTGTCCACCTTGAAGATGTACAAGCCTTAGCAATCACACTATTAAAAGCTGAGGGAAAAATAGAGCAATAAAATGTATTCCAGAAAAGGACACACATTAGATGGCAATTAAAATATTAATTGCATCCCATTATATTGTACTTCATTAATATACTATGTCACACATTCTTATAAAATAAATGCATGGATCTGTGCCTAGCATACATGAGAAATGATCCCATGGTGCCCAGTAGCACCTGAACCGGCTGCCCCTCCCTCATCCTGCTCTAGGCTCAGGGTGGGGCTTAGAGTGCACCACCCAAGTTTCTCCACCAATGAGAAAGGGCAGGGATAAAAAGGAGCTGGGTCTGAGAGACTGTGCTTCCACCTGCTGGCCACTGCAGGAGACTGGGCAGCAATAAATGCCTTTCTGCTTGCTTCATGCACCTGAGACTGTGCTTTGGTGGGCACGTGGGCTCAGGTGGGCTCATTTCCCACAGCATAGAAAGTGCTCTAGAAACAATTAGAGTATGAAGACACAAGCCAGAGATGTGGCCAGTTCTGGGAGAGTTCGCCCTCCCTCTAGAGCTCTCCTTTAGGAAGCAAATAAGAAATGTATACTAGATATATATTACATGTGTATATGAAAACGAGAATGCTGCCCTACCTGCCTGCCTGCATGAGCTGCCCTTCCCTCTTCATTGTGGCACTTATATTAGTTTTTAAGTGTGTATTTATTTGAAAGGCAGAGAGACAGAGGTCTGCCATCCAGTGAGTTACTCTCCTAGATGCCTGCAACTGCCAGACCAAAGCCAGGAACCTAAACTCCATCGGGTCTCCCACAGGGGTGGCAGGTGGGCCGTCACCATCCCTCTCGGAAAGCTTATTATGGCCATGAACCTAATACAACTTAATATTTTGCTGTTCTTCATTCACTCTCTCTCCTCTTCCTTTTTACCACGGCTGGAGGATTTTAAAACAAATTCCAGCCTCTATCCTTTTAACAAAAACCTTGATAGTATTTCTGATGTCCTCAGGTCTCCTAGGCAGGTGACCTGAGGTCCAGCGTGGCTAGGGTACACCCAAACTTGAACCCAGGATTCGGGCTGGTGTCTGTGGAGCCTAAGGGAGCTGTGTCCCAGCGATCCTTCCAGCAAGGACAACAGCGGGATTTGCGACCTGATGACCCTGGGAGGGTTCTGAAGTGCCCGCCCAGCCCACGTGTTCAAGGCAGCATGGGGGACTAGCGGCTGTAGCAGCTGGCAAAGCCCTCCATGGCTGCATGGGAACCAGACTCCCACCCGCAGAAGGCGAGAGTGGACCAACAACCCGAGCCACACGCTGCTGCTGCCGCCTTTGGAGGCGCGGCATCCACGCCCTCTCTTCCCGCCCCACAGAGACTTTGGTCCAGGTGGCCGTGACCCAACGTGTCATACGCTCGTCTCTCTCCGCGTACCTAAGGCCAGGATCCTCCCGTGGGGGAGGGAAGGCACAAAGCCTCCGGTGGCATCTAGAATATCTGATGACAAAAGCTGTGGCCGTCTTCCCTTCCAAGTGTCCCGGACACGGTTCCAAATGCACGGACACGAGAGACCCCTAATACTTCCTTCTTCCAGGGCCATTCCCTTTTCCTGCTTCGACTCGAGACCTAAAGAGGCTCAGTGCCCATCCTCCTTCTCCTCCAAAATACGCAGAAGCCAGAGTCCCCCAAACCACTGTCCCCTCAAGGACGCACCCCCTTATGCGGCGAGCCCGCGACCCGGCAGCTCCGCCCCCGCACGCTACGCCCGCCGTGACGTAACCGCCACAACAGCCAATCGGGCGCGCCGGCGTCAGCGACGAGAGGCGGGTCCTAGGCCTTGCGGGGCGGAAGCGCCGGTTGTTTTGGACCTGGGCCTCTGCGCGTGAGACGGCGGCGCGGCTGCCATGAGCCGGCCCAGCAGGCTGCAGAGGCAGATTCTGAGCCTGTACCGCGAGCTGCTGCGCGCCGGACGCGGGAAACCGGGCGCCGAGGCGCGGGTGCGTGCCGAGTTCCGGCTGCACGCCGGCCTGCCGCGCTCCGACGTCCTGCGCATCGAGTACCTGTACCGGCGCGGGCAGCGCCAGCTGCAGCTGCTGCGCTCCGGCCACGCCAAGGCCATGGGGGCCTTCGTGCGCCCGCGGGGCCTGACGGAGGAACCCGGTAGTGCGGGGCCCGGCGACGGGGACGCTACGGAGGCGCGGGAGACCCGGCCTGTGGGACGGTGACGGGCGGAAGAGCCCAGGGGACCACGTGGGGGTCGGGGAAGCAGCTGCTGACAGAGGGAAGATGGAGAACCCTCCTGGAACTGCAGGGTGCTCAGCGGAGGTCTACCAAGCACCCGCCCACCGCCCAGGGTCGAAGACAGACTGACATGCACTGCTCGTGGGGACGTCCCCACTCCCGGCACGACAAGGGGGACTATGCCATCCTGTGTGGAAGAAACTTTTTGCCGACTTGGCAAGGTGCCCTGACGAGTGGTGAGAAGGTGGCAGCTCCAACCCGCACCCGTGGAAAAACTGTCTCATTGGATTGTGACACTCGAGCGGAAGGGGCCGGGAGTCCTGCCACCCAAATTGGCCAACTGAAGACCCCCTCAATAACCCCTACTTGATAACCCTGAGGGGCAGCCCCCCAGCCTCTGCTTATTCCACTGTTTGAATGAAGGGAATAAAATGGGGGGTGCATACTTTCCTGTTGACGGTCTCAGAGTATGTATAGTTAAGGATTTTTTTTTTTAAGATTTCTTTCTTGGGGCCCAGTGCAGTAGCCTAGTAGCTGAAGTCCTCGCCTTGAACGCACCGGGATCCCATTTGGGAGCAGGTTCTAATCCCGACGGACCTGCCTCCCATCCAGCTCCCTGCTTGTGGCCTGGGAAAGCAATGGAGGATGTCCCAAAGCCTTGGAACCCTGAACCCACGTGGGAGACCCAGAAGGGGCTCCTAACTTCTGGCTTTGGATCAGTACAGCTTTGGCTGTTGTGGCCGCTTGGGGATGGAACAGATGGAAGATCTTCCTCTCTGTATATCTGACTTTCCAATCAAAATAACAAATCTAAAAAAAAATCAGACTTTAGGAAAATAATGGAAAAACAATAAAGGGTTTTTTTTTTAAAAAAAAGATTTGTTTTTTATTGGGAAGGCAGATTTACAGAGAGAAGAGACAGAAAAATAGCTTTCATCTGTTAGTTTATTCCCCAAATGGCTGTAAATACTGGAGCTGAGCCAATCCAAAGCCAGGAGCCTATTCTGGGTCTCCCAGACAGGTGCAGGGGGCCAAAGACTTGGGCCAGCCTCTGCTGCTTTCCTGGGCCATAAGCTGGGAGCTGGATGGGAAGTAGAGCAGCCAGGACACACACAGGTGCCCATATGGAATCCTGGTGCTTGGAGGTGGAGGATTGGCTTGTTGGGCCATCGCACTGGCCCCAGGTTGACGATTTTCGGAATGCCCCCTTTCCCCCGCACGCCCCCAAGCACCAGGAATTGCCCCTCTGGCAGTGGATGCATGTGAGGAGCTCTGTGCTCCCCATCTGGTTGACACACGTGACTCTGCGTGACCTCTGGAGGAGACCTGTCCTGGCTTCACCCATAAGGACACCCAGGTGACTCCCCAAGGGAGTGTAGTAAGGTAGGAGAGGAAAAGTGTGCTAAGGAGACCTGACTGGTCAGCCCTGAGGCGCGTTACTGAGGATCGCCAGTCCTTTGGAGTGTTTCATAAAAACTGGAAACTTCCACCTTCAAACCTGGCTGAGGAGCCCAGCCTCAGCTGCAAGTTGGGAGTTTGGTCAGCAGGGCTGTGGGGCAGAGTGAGGAGGGGGAGATGAGCCCATAGACCTTGGGAGTGCCCCTCCCCAGGTTTGTAGAGGGACCCGCCCTGCACATCTCCCTGGGCTACTACATTTTGCAACCCTGAGCTGTATTTGTGTCCGTATCAGCTAAGCAAGTGGAAGCAGGTGAATCCTGCAGTTGGATGCCTCGAGGGAGACCCTTGGGGAGGGAACCTTGGACTGAAGGGAGGGTGGGCAGCAGAGAACCATGGAGAGTCTGGAAAGTATCTCATGGCTTCCTACCCACTCAGCTTCCTGTTGTGTCTCCAAACACGGTCCCTGGCTTCCAGATCTTGAGCCTTGACATGCCCCTGGATGGGCACTTCCCACTGGGGCAGGAGGAGAGGAGACAGGCACCCAGGTGTAGCAGGTGAATGGGGTTTGCTGGGTAGCAGGGGTGCAGTAGCAGCATGCCTAACCTGAGGGAGGAGGCGTGCCAGCGCACAGTGGTTAAGAGAGGGCTCTAGAACCAACATGTTCTTAGGTTGGGATCTTTACTGATTCTGTTGTGGTTTAACTTTGTGCTGCCTTGACACCCTGATCTGATCAGTTAAGGAGGTATGGTAATACTGCTTCCCTGGGGACTGTTAAGATGACACTGAGAATTAAATGCAGAGTTGTGGCAGCAGATGATGCCAGCCCCCATGCCCAGGAACCATCCTGCCCACTTGGAGAATGTTTAGCCACAGATCCTGTGTGGACACAAGTCGGCCTGGGGCAGGTCACCCATGATACCTGTGCCCTTCCTATATGGCCTGCAGCTTGCTGAGACAAACGTGTGCTGATTTGCCTGAGGGTTAGGGGACCTTCACAGCCAGGACAGGTGGGAGTACAGGTGGGATGTCCACAACAATAAGAGATGGACGTGGGCCCGGCACGGTGGCGCAAGTGGTTAAGGTCCTCGCCTTGCACGCCCGGGATCCCATATGGGCGCCAGTTCTAATCCCAGCGGCCCTGCTTCCCTTCCAGCTCCCTGCCTGTGGCCCGGGAAAGCAGTCGAGGACAGCCCAAAGCTTTGGGACCCTGCACCCGTGTGGGAGACCCAGAAGAGGCTCCTGGCTTCGGATTGGCATAGCATCGGCCGTTGCGCTCACTTGGGGAGTGAATCATCGGACGGAGGATCTTCCTCTCTGTCTCTCCTCTCTGTATATCCACCTTTCCAATAAAAAATAATAAAAATAATTTTTTTTTAAAAAAAAAAGAGATGGACGTGACCCATCAGTGCCACAGTTTCTTCATGGAACAACTTTGGGGTGTTCCACACAGCTTCCCAGTGGGCCCCAGTGGGATGGCATCCCAGATACCCAGTACTGGCGTTCTTCCTTCCGTAGCTTACTTCTCTCATCCCCTGCTATTGTTCCCAGGATCACCCCCTAAAACTTGTGTCAGAATTTAGGGGAACCTAACTCAAGATGGGTCGATTCAGTACTGGTTTGGGGGGTACTGCTAAATTTTGGGTACTCAAGTCCCCACATCTCCACATTCCTCTGGCAGTGACCATTTATTACACATGTGTAGAACATGTACTCAGATTGGAGGGGGACCATTGACATAGCTAAGCACCAGGTAGGGCGTCCTGGCCAGTCGGGTGTGAGAGCAGCAAGGGCCTCCGGATATGGGCAGGAACAAGGTGGCCCCCAGCAGGAGAAGGAAGAGAACGAGAAGAATGAGGAGGAAGAGCAGAGGCCGCCTGGATGTAGGAGTGGGGACCCTAGGGAAGGAAAGGCGGTGTTAACTATATGGGTGAGCTGCCACTATGAACCTGGGGACTCATCTTCCAAGGACCTCACCCAGAATCCACTTCCAGCATGACACCCTGGAGACTGGGAGCAGCTTGCCTCTTCTTGTCCTGAGGGTACACAGAGCCAACAGCAGAGTGAAAGGAAACAACACTTCGTATGGGCTTGCCCTTACTACAGATCCACATGTTTCTTCTTTTCTTCCTCTTTTCCTGGTACCCCAGAACCCTACATCTCTATGTATAGCAGAATTGTGTTCGGGCCTGTCCCCCATCCCACCAAATCCCTCTTTTCCTGTTAACAGTGGTTAATCTGAGGAACTCAGACTTACCCCCCCTCTCCAACATCCAAGACTGGGCACATGGGCCAGACACGGCCAATTAAAGCATTCAGGCTGGTTCAGGTGTGGCTGTGGGCCCAAGCCAGGCAGCTGGGAGTCAGCTGCAGAACTTGGGCTGCTGCCAGAGGGAAGTCAGTGTGTAGCAACTAGGGCAACCATTTTGGGCCAAAGAGCATGACAGGGGCAGCTGCTCTGCTGGCAGCAGAGATCCGGCCTGCACTTTTCTAAAGCGGATTGGGTTTCTGTCACTTGTCACCAGGAATCCCAAATGCTGCACCTGGCAGAGAACCAGCTCACCTGAGGCTTCCGAAGCAAGGGACGTCTTCGGTGACCTGCTAAGTGTTTCCGGTGGCCGAGACCCGACATGAACATGTCCTATAGGAAGAGAGGGGGGTAAATGGTTCTTGAGAGAACCAACCACAAACAGAAATCCTGGTTGAAGAAAGATCATGATGGGGGGCTGTCAAAAGGTGAAATTCTGGGAGAACAGAGGAGATCACTTGGGAAAGACAGAGGGGCAGAGCCAGAGAGAAGAGGCATCATTTATTTATTCAGTCAACAAATATTTAATGAGTGTCTGTTACATGCCAGGCACCCTTTTAGGAACAGCGGACACAGTGGGCATGTCAAAATAGGTAAACTCCTGGCCTCCATGGAATTTATATTCCCAGGCGCATGAGCAGGGAGCTGGATTGGAAGTGGAACAGCCAGGACTTGAACTGGCACCTGTATGAGATACCCACATTGCATGCATAAACCTTTCCTGCTACATCACAATGTTAGACCCAGGGATTGTTCTTACCTCAAAGGCTTGTCCCCGGTGGCCACACAGCTCACAGGGTGCCCCTGGAGTCCACGCCTTCTTTTGCCGTAAGGGCCCCAGGCCCCCAACGTCCCCTGCCGGGTCCCACTCCAACTCTGCAGGAGTGAGGAGGCTACTGGATGTCCAGGGTCCCCAGACCCCAGTAGTTCCCGGCCCATCTGAGTCCCCCTTGGCCTCCAAGTCCTGGTCTAGCATGTTGGCCTCCTCGAACACCTGGGTCAGAGAACAGAGGTCATAGGAATTGGGAGATTGGGGTCAGGGCTAGAAACCACAAAGCTGGGCCATACCAGGCTGTAGCTGACCAGCTGGGCCTGCAGCTGCCAGAGCCGTCGGAAGATAGTATCTCGGTGGGCTCCAAGGGCCCTCAGGATGTGCTCAAGGGATGCCCAGGATCTGGGTTCACTCCGCTGTGCCAGCCCCTCACCAAATGCTAGCAGTGCATCCACACGTTCAGCTGCTCCATGCAGGTCTGCCTGTAGTGCCTGAGGATATATTCATGGACATCAACCCCCTACACACACCAGAAACATCAAAGACCCAGACCCTGAATCTACCACCTTCCCTATTTCCTATCCTGAGACCTAGGACATGTAAGAAACTCACTTCCCACACAAGTGAGTAGCAGGAACAGCCACCCTCTCCTGAGGCCACGCACACCTTCCCCAACTTCCCACTACCCACCTGCAGCCGGACGGTCATGCTCTGGGCCAGTGTCCAGGGTCTCAGGCCTCGCTCTAGGTCCTGCAGCCGGAGGCCCAGTCCCAGCAGGCAAAGGTACAGGCTGTCCTGCTCAGCTTCCAATACCTCCAGGCCAGATATGGGGTACTGGGAAACAATGGAGCCCCAGTCAGGCCAGCAGCCAGCAAATACATTATCCTCATTCACATGGTATCCCCTTCCTGCAGGCCCTTGCCTTCTAGATGCTTTTTGCAGCAGAATCCCTCTCTTAGCTATTCCTACTTGGAGGCCTTCCTAGTGGATGTAGGCCTGGAGACATCTAGTCCAAGATCTCCAGGTTTCCAGGGCTCTTAGAAACATGTTGATGAGGGGGCCTGGGGCCTGGACAGAGAGGAGGTAAGGCAGCTGGGGTACCCCCGGGAGGAATGGGCTTGGCATAGAACCAGTTATGAAATGCTTCTCTCCCAGTCAGTAATATTATTGCAGCACTTCTATCTGGATTGGGAGAGACAGTTTCCAAGGCATCCCTTCCCCGACAGGTGCCCAATCACTTTCCCAGAATCATTGCTTCACCCACAGAATGGAAGCCAGACTCTAGAGGACCAAGAAGGGATGGGGGCTGGTCCCAGGAGTCAGGGCTATCTCGGCTCACCTCATGGTGTTTGTTTCCGGCTGAATCCTCGCGGGAAGAGGGCGTGAACGAGCTCATAGGGCTAGCAGTGGGCTCAGCACCCCTCTGCTCAGCCTGGGTGAGCTCAGGAGCATCCAACGAGTCCTGGCCCAGTTTCAGGGCCTGCTCTGACCTGGAAATTGGGAGGCATTGGGAGGCCCCTGAGTGAGCTCTGGTGCCTCATTTTCCATCCCAACTTCACCCCAGCCCCAGCCCCACTCCCCCTGTCCTCAAGTGATCATAGCCATGGTACCTCCTTCCCCTAAACAGCCCCTACAATTGCCCCCACCCTCTTGGGACCAAGTTCAAACAAACCAACCCCAACCTGATGGTCTCTGCTCCTGACGCAGGGTAGTCCGTGCTTCCAGCGCTGTCCAGTTCTCCACACGGGTGGGTGAGGAGCTCTGGGGGGTGGCTGAGGCCCAGAGGTGGGAACAGTGCCATAGCTTGGGGGTCTAGGGACCGAGAGTCCATGAGGCCACTGTTTCAGATCCTTTTCCCTGGCCAGGGTGTTACCCAGACCTCCTCCTCAGCTGGACACACCTGGGCAGGAAGGGCCCCAGGAAGCCCAAGGGCAGGCCTGGCTCCACCCCTTCCATGGGGAACCTGGACTCAAGTAATTCGATGCTGGGCTCAGGTGACAGCACAGTCACTTAACTCCTTCCTTCCTAGAGGCACCAATGGTTGTGCCTTCCCAAGTCATGCCGCCCCCTTCTGAGGGGTTCCAGATACAATCCCCCACCCACCTAGTCCCTCACAAGCCATAGGCTCTGCCCCACTCACTGATCTACTTGCCTGACCTCAAGGGTCTACACCATTCACTCAAGTTCCTGGATACAGCGCCCCCAATACAATCTAACACCAAAGAAAGGTACGCTTGGTTTATTGGGAATGAAATCTTCTGTAGCTCCCCCAAAAGTTATTGAAAAAATAACCCAGTAGGGATCCACCTCTGTCCCAGACTTCCAAGGTCCCAGGGGTACAGCCAGACCACAGGGAACAGAACCCATGAATCTCAGTAGGTCCTGGAGTGTGACTGTTGTGAGCTGAGTTGATTAGCATTTGTTAAGCTTGGCTCCTGCAGGAAATGGGCTTGGAGGCTAGTGGCACCTTGTCTGTCAGACTCATTAGTGTCCTATTGTTCTGCTAGAGGCTTGGGGGAAAGGTATATATATGGCTGAATAAAGGGAGGCCGAGAGAGACCTCTTCCACCACTACTGGTCTCCTGTCGGTGTCTGATTCCCTGACCCTCGTGTCCATGCTACCGGTTAAGCTGCCCGGAACATGTGACAGTCACTTGCTGAGCAGGAGGCTGGTACGCAGCACGCGGGGGACACGACGGATGGTCAATGAGACACGGGTGCTACGGTCCAGGCGGGCTCCAGGCAGTGCTGACGGGCAGGCGGCAGCATTACATGGCAGCGAGGTGGCCTCAAGCACATCCACGCGGGTGGCCGCAATGCCGTGGAGGAGACGTGTGTAAGCTCTGCCACGGAGCACCAGCAGGCTGCGTGGTTCCAACAGCAGTGAAGCAATGGGCCTGGGTAGGGGCCGGGGCTGCAGGGAGGACTAGGGGTCAGTGGTCGGGGCACAAGAGAGAGGTCAGTGGGCTTCAGGGGTTAGCGAGGCTGAGGAACAAGGTTAGCAAGGCTGAGGAACAAAGATACTTCCTGGGGTATGGGGTGGGGTAAATTTTGATAGCTCAGGGATGAGAATCCAGAGAGGGCAGAGGTCAGTCCCTTGGAGGGGACAGCAACTAGCCTGCTGCTGGGGGCACCAAAGGGTCAGCAGGTGTGTTCAAGCATCAGTTGCTGGGATATTCCAGAGGGTACAGGCTGGTATGGGGGACCAGCAGTCCCCAGGCAACCCAGGGGAAGGACATAGCCAACACTTAGAATTGGGCATGGAACACAGCAGAGGACAAAACGAGTGAGTGCAGAGGCGGCACGGGGATGGCAAAGGACACTGGCAGAGTGGAATTGGGGTCACAGTGTCCAAGTGCATAGAGGGCCAAAGAGGAAGCCCCAGGGGGCAGCCACAGCAGCGTTTCCAGGAGGTTCTGTGAGCATGGGAGTGTCAGAAAGGCATCATCACGCAGAGATCAGAGAAGACGCTGCTGGGATATCAGAGTGGGGGAAGAGAGTGGTCCTCTGAGCAGAGAGTCACGATATATCGGGGAGCAAGGAGAATCTGGAGGTGTCCTGTACCATGACTGTGCACTGAGTAGCAAGATGTCAGGACTGTGTGTTGGGTGCAGTGAGCAGTCAGGACATTTGGAAGAAGCCTGGGGGCCCCATGAGTGAATGACCCCAGGGATGCAGGACACGAGTGTCAGCTGGAACACCCTGGGTATTCAGGATGTCAGAGGTGTTTGTCCAGCAAGCAGGGATGTGGGCACCCTGCAAACAGAAGGGTGTCTCCCCCATGAAATAGCAGAGGGATAATGGCTTGGGCAGGGGGTGTTAGGAGCAGGTAGGTCTGGGTCACCAGGAGGCTGTATGGGAGTCCACAGCACCCCTGAATGCTCGGGACAGTCCCTCAAAGCCCACCTGTTCTGTAGGGGCATCATCCTCCGGGTGCCGTGGCTCATAGAATTCCAGCACGGTGTGGGAGCCCAGACTGATGGTGCTGACGGTCGGGTAGTAGAGTGGTCCATCCTCATGGGGCTGGGGAGTAGGAACCAGGGTTGAGCAGGGCTGGTGCTTCTACCCCTCACCCTCTGGGGGAGACGGGGCGGGGGAGGGTAGTGAACGTGTGGCTGGGGAATGGCTGCTGGATGAACATGAGGGTGAATCAACAGGGTGCCCTGCTCCAAGACAGTTCAGGGACCAGGGATGGGAGGAGGCCATCGCTGTAGAGGAGAGGAGGAGGGCATGTGGTTACCATAATGCCCTCCCCAGGCAGATACTGGTTCACGAGGACATGGTTCGCCGGGAGACCCCCAAAAAGGCTGAGGTCTGACACCTTATCCACGTAGCGCTGGAGCCATGGGGGCAGCCGCTCAGGGACCATCCCCCGGGGGTGGGGGAGCCCACCTAGGGAGTGCAATGGGGTCCTGAGAGAACCTGGCACCTGGAGCCCTTGGGAGGGCCTCCACAGTGGCTAGAGGCACCATAGCCCCTTGAAGGACCCCTGACCCTTTTCAGATCACCACCAGACCCTTCTGAGATTTCCTGACTTCTCTCCCAACTCAGCAGGAAATTCTTCATCTCTGGTGGACCCCTACTGAGCCTTCAGGACCCTCTTGGCCCTTGGAATCCCATGAACACCAGACATGATACCCCCACCCCTAATACCTCAAGCTAACAAGACCAGAGCTGGCTCCTCTAGCACCCCACCCACAATCCAGAATCAGCCATGCTCCCAGCCAGGGACACTTACCCCAGTTCTGTAGCTTCCTCCCGGAGAGCTGGGTCCACTTTGGCTTGGGGGCATTGAAAACCTAGGGGGTGAGAGAAGGAGCCACTCTGTTCCAGGACCATCCCTCCCAGGAGTCTCCCACCCAGACCAATGCAGAGTCCTTTACCTGCCGGTAGAAATGGGCCTTCTTGGTGCCTGTGGGCTCATTCCCAGGACTTTATTTCTCATCATTCCTGGGGAGGCCTTGGCCCACCTGCATCTACTGGGATGAAGGAAATGGACCAGGGCTGCACCCCTGTATTACCTTCATCTGCTTACGGCTGTGGCCAGGCTCTCTCAGCCCAGGACACAGCCTGTACACTCACTGCCCAATTCCTGGGTTATGTGAAAAAAGTCAGAGTTTGGGAACTTCCTTGTTCCTATTGTCCAGAGGGAGGAAGTGTGGTAAGCAGACTCCCTCTACACAGCAAAGGAAGGACTTTGAAGATCTTTCATTAGCAAGATCCCAAGACTCTAGACTAGGCCATCTCAGTTCAAGAAGCCAACACTTCAGTTGATAATCTCCTCACCCTTCACCAGTCATGCACACAGCCTTGGCTATTTCAGCCCAAGTTTTTTTAAAATACATGAGTTTTTTAATATCCAGAATCCAAAGACATGGAATGGGCTACTTCATATCCCAGCACAAGAGTACACGTTCTGGGGCCAGCTCTATGTTGCAGTGGGTTGGGCTGCTTCCAAAAATGCTGGTTCAAGTCCTGGCTGCTCCATCTCCAATTCAGACCTCTAATAGGAAAGCAGCAAAAAATGGGCCAAATGCTTGGGCCCCTGCACCCACGTGGGAAACCCAGAAGAAACTCCTGGAAAATCTCTAGCTTACTCTTTCTCTCTGTAACTCTGCCTTCCAAATAAAGAAATATTATTATTTTTTTTAAAAAAGGGGGGGGGTGGGAGAGAGAAGGGTCTGGCATGATGGTTCAATTGGCGAATCCTCCCCCTGCAAGTGCTGGCATCTCAATGGGTGCCAGTTCATGTCTTGGCAGCCCTACTTCCCATCCAGCTCCCTGATTATGGCCTCGGAAAGCAGTCAAGGACGACCCAAAACCTTGGGACCCAAAAGAGGTTCCTGGCTCCTGGCTTCAGAACAGCTTGGCTCCAGCCATTGCAGCCATTTAGGGAGTGAACCAGTGGATGGAATATCATTCCTTCTCCCAATCCTTTTTTTTTTTAGATTAATTAATTCATTTTTATTTTTATTGGAAAGACAGACCTACAGAAGACAGAGGGAAAATTTTTCCATCCTCTGGTTCACTACCTAAATGGCCATTAACAGCCAGAGCTGAGCTGATCTTGAAGCCAGGAGCTTCTCCTGGCTGTCCCACACAGGTACAGGGTCCCAAGGCTTTGGGCCGTCCTTGACTGCTTTCCCAGGTCACAAGCAGGGAGCTGGACAGGAATTTGGATTGGCCAGAACATGAACTGGTGCCCAAAAGGGATCCCAGTGCTTACACATGGAAGATTAGCCAATTGAGCCATCGTGCTGGTCTTAAGAATAAAGTATGACCAGGCTAGCTAAGCATGGATGGTCTCTGTTTGGTAACCTTATTCCTCAGACTCTGGGCCAGTGCTGACCTATCACAGAACAAGGGGGAGTTAGTCTGTAACATCCTGATTCTTGGTCTATCGTACCTCATCTGAACAACTTCCTTTCATCTACCAAGGACTGAACTGTCTCAGCACAGGAAACATGAATGTTGCCCTGGGTTACTTCTACTCCAGGACTCCAATCTCCAGGACATCCTCATTTTGGAGCCTGAAACAGGACGGGACATCTCACTACAGGGAGTTTGAAGTCAACACTGCACACCAGATGACAGCCACTGCCTTTCAAAGAAGCAGTCTGGTTTTCACTAAACCTCCTATTTAGCATCTATTAGACAGTGGACAGGTACTAGGAATCCTTGAGAAAGGAACAGGGAGGGTGGGAATTGGGGTACTGTGTGTCACTCTCCTTTCTGCCAAAGTCCTCACTGAAACCCTGGAGCCAGGGGTTCTCATACTGTGTGGGGCAGCAGGGTCGGCAGAGGTATGGGAAGAGGTGGTGTGTGGGGACAGACCAGAAGGACATTGAGGTCACCTGTCGCAACAAATATTCCTCTTCTTCCTTGGAGATGAAGTCAGGGACATAGTAGATTGTAGGTGGTGCCTAGGATGGAGAGATACCTTTTAAGGTTTGGCCCTTCAACCTACCAGGGACCCCAGCATTATGGAGCAAGCTCCTCCTCTGGAAAGAGGCTCCTAAGGCTCTCAGATAGGCCAAGATCTAAAGGCAGGAGACCAATGTCCATTGAGGGCTGAGGGTGGGGAGGAGGTTAAAGGAGTGAGGGAGGGGGCAGTCTCAAACCAGGAACCTAGGAGCCACCATCCAGTCCCCACCTTCACCCTCGCCATCCCCAGACCCGACAACCTGCTCCACTCGGAATGGTTCTAGGGCTGGCACGCTAGCGTCTGGCTCCTCCATGGACTCTCACCTCTTGCACCCAATCCTGTGAGGAGAGGAGGACACAAAGTTACTACGTCTCCCTCCCGCCCTTGGGCCAGGATCCAGCCAGTCTTCTGCCCCATTATGAACCTCAGCCCTCTTGAGCAACTCACTTGTCTCTAAGACGGGAGTCCTCAGGCTCCTGGAAGCCACACAACACAAGGCTCTACACAAAGAATATTCAGAACTTGCCTCTAAACGCCCTCCGCACAGGGTGCATCAACCTGCACACCTGCCCACTCGAGCCCCCCACAGACAACGTCCTCCGATGCCACGCGAAGAAGCTCCATATGCCGTTCCCAGGGCTGCATACCAGATCCCTGGGAGCACCCTGAGTCACCCACCTTAATCCTGCCATCATGAGCTCAGCTAACATCACTCGGAGGACCCAACGACCCTTCCTCTAGCAGCCAGGTCCTTTCAGACCCCTCCCCCCCCACACACACACAACGCTGAATTCCCTCAGATTTTCCTTTCCCGAGTGCCCCTTCACTCCATCCTCCTTGGACATTTAGCCCCAGCCTGATTCCTCTCAAACCTTCTCTTCTTGAACTCCCAATCTCCCGGCTGAGGACTCCTCACTTAGCTTCCCTGGACCCACCCACCCTCGACTCTTATAATTATCTCTGCCTCTGGTAGCTCCCCAAACTGACCGTCCACCAGTGTCCCCTCCAATTTCCAATTTCAACACCCCCAATCCCTCCTCAACCACTTCCGACCCACATTTCTGACGCGAGCGTGCTCGGACCAATGGGAACTCTCGGAGCCCTTAAGGCCCCGCCTACCACCCAATCTGTGCGCCCTTTCAGTATTGGTCCGCCCCTTCACCCTCGCTCTGGGATAGGCTGCGCCTCCGGCCTTCCTCCCAGTCACCAGGATAAGCTGGGGGAACTCGTCTTCCTCGCGCGGCGGCCACTCAGGACTCCAGAAACGCGGCCAGGTGGGGTGGGCCGTGGTGGCCACAGGAAGGACGCAAGAGAGGCTGGAAGAAGGACTTGGTCCAGGCAGGCCCAGCTCTCCTGTGCCCGTGCGCTCCCAGCAAGGAGTACAGAGGCAGGGCCGTAACCCCAATGACCCAGGGACACCGAGAGGCCATAGAAACGTCTTTATTGAAGAAGACAGGGGTCATGCTGAGTTTGGGGACATGCAGTGAAGGGGCAGTCGTGAGCTGTCCTTGGTGGTCAGGGCCTCAGGCCCACCCTGGACCCCTTGGACCTTCAGGGTGGTCCTCAGGTTGTTGGTCCGGCCCAGGTGCTCTGAGAGATCCTGTAGGGCCAGTGACTCAGACTTGGGGTCTTGGACCTGTGACCAGAATGCAGATTGAAATGGGGCTTCCAGAAATGGGATTCCCCGTAGGATATTAGGGTCCTCCAATGTGTTAACAGGTAGGGGGCTTTAGGATGTAGGAGTCCCCTTGGGACTGGGGCTCTTGGAATGTGGGTGAATTGAGGTCCGTGGACTTGGCATCAAAGTCCTCCGATTCCCAGGGATGGAAATTCCTGTTTGGGGTCTCCTTTGCTGTGACAGAGGTTGAGGCACCCTGGAGCCTGGCATGTATATATCCACTGCCAGGCACAAGGACCTCATGATTGTGTTTTCCTGGGGGGCTTGGGGACTGCATTTTGTAAATTTGGGATTCCCCAGGGATTTGGGGATGCTGTTATTTGAGGGTCCTGGGCATTCGGGGCTGTGGGGCTCAAGGGCACAGAGGAGTTTGGGGGCATGTGGACTCTGAGGTTTGGAATTCCCCCAGAGTCCCAGAATGGAACCTCCAAATTTTAGGGTCCCCCAAGGGGGGAAATCATTCCTTTAAAAATAGAGAATTTTCGGGGATCCTGGCCAGCACGGGGGCTGTGGGCCATGTGGGGGTGGGCTTCATACAAGGCACTGGGGCTTTCTTGCGGGTGCAGAGGGCAGGAAGACTTGGGAGTCCTGGGATTAGCACTTCCAGGACTGTTTTGGTGTCTGTAAACTGGGGGTGACCGTGGGCTAGTTAAGGTGGATCTCTTCTTGAGGGGGTAAGCACACAGGTCTTTATTAATGGAGAGAGTCTCCGATTGGGGGGTTTATAAGGGCTTTAGGGTGACCACAGGTCAAGTATCAAGGGCTTGATGTAACAGGGTATAGTGACATGAAGTTGGGTTACTCTGGAGGTGTAAGCTATGTTTAGTTCCAGGGAACTTGGGCAGGGGGATCTTTGTTAATGAGCAGTTCCGATCCAGTCATGGGTGATTCAAGGATTGTGGAGCATTGTATGGAGAGGGTCGCCATCATTTGGGATGTGGAAATCTGTTCCTTGGGGGAAGGGAGGGTCTGCGCCAAGGGAGGGGTACAGGGAGGGACTAGCCTGAAGGTGCTACTCAGGGAATCTCCATCTGGGTGGCTTGGGGTCTGTACTGGGGGCTTTACAGGGGAGTCTGTTAATCATGGGACCTCAGTGATTGAGGGCTGGCTAATGGGGATTTCTATTCAGGATGTATTACTGGGGAGTCTATCTCAGGGAACTTTGGGGGTTCCTGTGTCAGGAGATGCTAAAGGGGGGCACTCTGTCAGAGTGTCTGGGGCCTCTAGGATTGCATCTCCGCCCTCAGCACCCAGGGAAACCAGCAGCAGAAGAGCAACCTGGAAAACAGGAGTACCACATTGTCAGTGATGGAGTGTGGGGCAGGAATCTCTGGGCCAATGCCCCCTGGACTCCCCCGGTTGGGGCCTTGGGTTTTCTGGGTTCCACCCTCTCCCTCTCTGTGCTGCTTTCTGAGGCGTGTGTGGAGCAGAGGGTAACATGCTTTCTCCATCTGCCCTCTACAAGTTCACATCACTAGGACTCGGTGTAAAGTCCCACACCCTGCAGTTTCTTAGATGTGTATACTAGTCACAGGTATTCCTGATTCCAGATCCCTGGTACCTCCCCCTACACATCCCACAGGAACAGGGGTGTGGGGGAGGTGTTAGCCACGCACCTGGAGATGGAATTCTCTGATGCAATGTCCTTTGGGGTCCGGACTGTCGTGAAGGTGCGTTTGGGCTGCGTCACTGCAGAGCAAGGCAGGATCTGTCTTCAGACTCCTTGTCACTCATATCTGTTCATGTCCCCAGCACCCACTTGGCTCCCACATTCCCAATATCCACCTGGACCTCTTGTACATAATATCCATCATGTCCCACAATACCCACCCGTGTCCCCATTACCCATCTAGCCCTCTGCCCCCAGTGCCTGTGCAGGGCCTTGTCATTAACATCCCCATACTTCATGGCCACTATCCTCTCGGGGCCCCTGTCTCATTTTCCTGGACCCTGAGTCCCAAGTGTACACCTGAAAACGCATGACCCGTCCTCCTATCCCCATCCCCACACTATTCCCCCAATCCCAGCTCCCAACGCACTTGTCACTTGATGCACTTTTTTGGCTCCAACACTGTCCCTGGGGGTGTCAGTAGATCCACCACCAATCCTGAGGAGACATGGAGTGAAAGAAGCTAGAGCCGCAAGAGGCCAAGATCTGGAAGCCAAGCCCCAGGGGACCCATGAAGAAAGCGCTAGCATGATTGTGATGTTCACATTGTCCTGCTTGTCCAAAAGAAGGAGACCATCTGGGTGGGGGGTAGGAGTGGGCGCAGGGAAGGATGCCAGGGCTCTGGGTGGCCCCTTGGATTGGGGTTTGGCATTTGGACTGACCTCTGGATGCGGGATGCTGGTGCAAAGACCCCATGCTTCGGGGGGCAGGTAAAGTATCGGACACCAAAGACAGAGCCATCATGCTTGCCAGTGGGCTGGTCCAGCTCAATGCCATACCAGTAACCTGCAGCAGGAGGGCGTCATCATGAAAAGGCCTCTCCTGCCCCCCTGAGCCCACAGTCCCCATCCTCACCTGGAGCAAAGTCTGTTTTCCCATAGAAGCGCACAATCCCCTGCTTCTGGCCTGCAACAAGGACTTGGTCTCCCACCTCAGCCTTGGCTCCCTCACGCTGCTGCAAGCTACCCAGTGACGGGGATGATGGAGACTTCTTCTTGCCTGTGGGGAAGAGGGTAAAGGAAGTGAGACCCAAGATGCCCACCTGGAAGACCCCAATATAGACTCCAGTAAGCAACTCTAGAATATTCCTCAGAACGGGGAGAGAGGACTAGACTGGAAGGGAAACTGAATCCCTGGGATCAGACAGGAAGTTAGCAGTGAGCCAGGGGAAACTGAGTCACAGAACCTGGAGAACCCCAAAATCCTGTTTCAAACTTAAGGCTACAGTCTGAAGCACCATGAGAAAGAAAGTGGAAAAAGCTGAGGCTGTGTGGGTCAAAGGAAAAAGAACTGAGAAGTCAGGAACCCAGAAATGATTCCAACGAAGTGGGCAGCAGGAGTTCGGCCTAGCAGTTAAGAGGCCAGTGAGATGGACATGTCTCACACGGGATTGCCTGGATCCAGATCTGAGCCCGGCTCTGGCTCCTGACTCTGGCTTCCCACACATGGGGAGCCCTGAAAGCAGCGGTGATGGGGTCCTGCCACCTGTGCAGGAGACCTAGACTGAGTTTCCAGCTCCTGGCTTCAGCCTAACCCAGTCCCAGCCACTGCAGGCAGCTGGTCAGTGAACCAGCAGAGAACTCTATTTCTCAGACTTTCAAATAGAAAAGCAGAGGCAGAGAATATAAGGTAAATCAAGTCACAAAAGCCAGGAACTCCATTCTCTGATTGTCCCATTGTCAAACAAATACATTAATATTAAAAAAAAAAAAAAGTCGGGGTAGTGTGGTATAATGCAGTCAGCCATTTCTTAGGATACCCACACCCCATATCAGAGTGTTTGGGATCACTTCCTGCCTCTGCTTCTAGCCCAGCTTCCTGCTAATGTGCCTGGGAGGAAGCAGGTGATGGCTCAAAAACTTCAGTTCCTGCTACTCATGTGAGAGACTAGGATGGAGTATTTAATTCCTGGCCTCAGCCTGGCTGAGCTCTGGCTATTGCAGGCATCTGAGAGTGAAACAGTGAATGTAAGAGTTTTCTCCACCATTCAAATGAAATCTTTAAATAAATAAGACAAGAAAGGAACTCTACAGATTCTCCCCTAAAGCTGGAGACCTTAGGGCCTTGAGAGGAAGCCATGGGTCCTTCCAAGAACTGAGGGGGGCCAATATGAAGTCAAAAGAGAAACTGGGTCACAGAAGCCAGGGGTTCACAGCTTGTCCTTCAGTCTGGACATGGGAAGACATGCACTCACAGAAACCGAGGCACGCACAAAGCCAGAATGTCGCCAGCACCAGCTCTCCCACCCGCCCGACATCATGTACTCTGACCTTTGTGCTCCTTGCGACCTTTGCCAGTGACACGAGAAAAGTCCATCCGAGGAGTCCGGGGTGTGGAGGTGACAGATGAAGGGGGTGCATCCACGGCTTTGGAGATCTTGGACACAGAGGCGAAGAGGCCTGGGGGTACAGAGCTGGAGCTTGAAGCTGCCCAAGCCCCTATCCTCAAGCTCCAACCCCCACTTCCCAGGCAGCAACATCTGAGTAAACTTCCCCCTCCCCAGCACACACACACCCCAGTCTTCTTGAGCCCCAGGTGGAACTGACCCTGCTTGGGAGGGCAGATGAAGTACCGGACACCCCCAACGCTGCCGTCATTTTTGCCCTCAGGTTCGTCCAGCTCCACGCCCACCCACTGGCCACTGGCGAACTCTGTGGTGCCACAGAAGCGCAACGTGCCCGTCTAGGGGGAAGACAAGAGAGGTATGGCTTGGGATGGGGTCTCCACGGGCTATGGTGGACTCTGGCACAAAGGCAGCTATGGAGTGGGAAGGGAAAGGGACTCGGATCTCAACTCAGACATCACAGTCTTACTGGCTCTATGGCTGCATCTCTCTCTGCCTCAGTTTCCACATCTGCAAAATGGGAACTGCACCCACTTCATAATATTGTAATAGAGCTGCCCTATGCAGTAAAGAGTCAGCACATGTGACCATTTACGGTGAGCTTACAAATCCATTCCTTCAATCACAGTAACTGGCTCTCCAGCACTCAGCAGACACTTATGCATTTCCCTTAAGCCTCACACAACCCGCTCCCTGCCCCCCGCCCCAAGAGGAAGCAACCACATCCAGAGAGCTGGCATCACCGGCCTCAGGCCCCACAGCTGGCAAGTGGCAAAGCTGAGATTGACCAGAGCAAGTCCCTGAGTAGCTGCTCTGCATTACATGTCTGCACACAAAGTGTTCTCCAGCTCTCAGAGTCTCCTGTGGCTTTTGGGTTGGTAGCTGGGAAAGGGTCAGTCCCCTGTGGATCGGATTAGATCACATTACGCAGAAAAAAAAAAAAAACCCTATGTGGGGGGCTGGCCCACACTTGACTCTCCGATTATGACTTCGGTGATTTCCCACTGTGTAAGAAACAAGATCTCCCTTCCTCCAGCTGCCCTGCAGGTCTGCTCTGACCTTCCCACCTTATCCCAGGTTTCCCAATCACAGCTGCAGCTGCTTCAGGTTGTCAGGCCCCACACAGTACAAGATGAGGCACAAAGGAGGCATTGAACCAAAGTCCTGGTGAGGAGCCAGTATGATTGCTCAACTGATTAATCCTCTGACTATTTGAGCCAGCATCCCAGATAAGGCACCAGTTTGTGTCCTGTCTGCTCCTCTTCCTATTCAGCTCCCTGCTTGTGGCTTGAGAAAGCAGTGGAGGGTAGCCCAAGTCCCTGGAGGCCTGCACCTGTGTGGGAGACCCAGAAGAAACTCCTGGCTTCTGGTTTTGGATTGGCTCAGCTCCAGCCATTGCAAGGGGGAATGAACATGCAGAAGAGAGATCTTTCTCTCTCTTTTCTTAATCTATCTTTCCAATGAAAAAATAAATAAGTCTTTAAAAACTCTGGAGGGAGGAGGAGTCTGGGTCTCACCCCCTTCCCCTTGTGCATGCACACACACACACCCAAGACCCTGACCTTCTGGCCATCCAGCAGCACACGGTCTCCCAGGCGCAGGCCGAGGGCACTGAGCATGAGATTGCCTGGAACGTTGTCATAGTTGGGGAGTGTGACCTTGGGGAGGGCGCAAGAGAGTGGCACAGCCTCCTCCAGCAGCGTCCGGAGCTCCTTGGCCACCAGTGCGGCTTCTGCCTTGTCCAGAGACATGTCCATAGGATCCGGGACCACTTCCGCTGGCACTTGTCCCTTTCGATTCTGGAGGATACCGGGAAAAGGGGGGTAGAGATTCAGCAGCACAGGCCACAGTTCTGTGTAGGTCAGGCTTGAGTCTGGGTGAAGCAATGGTGCCAATAGGGGAACATGACGGGACATTGAGATGCTTACTACATCTCCAGGGAAGTGCACCCCATAGGCTCTGGGCTGGGGATGTGTGTCAGGGAATTGAAGTTGGAGCTGGGGTAGAGCCAACAGGAAATGAGGACCACCCCAAGTGTTGGAGGTATGTCCTCAGAGAGCCTAGGCCCAGGCTGCAGTGGAGCCATGGGATGAGGGTGGGGGATAGACAGTGGGAATGGGGTCTGGTGTACAGGACCAGGTTCCAGTGGGAGAACAGGAGATACAGGATCCCAGAAACCCTGGCCATGTCCCCTGCTGAATGCAGAGTCATTGCTATTGGGATGGAATCTGCTAATGGAAGAGTTAAGGGACCACAGAGCCTACTGAGGGGCCTAATCTACTGGTTCACAGAGGGTCTAACCACTCTCTCAATGATCTTTAAATCCTGTCTACACACAGCCACTGGGTTAGGCAGGATTGGAGGAAAAGATAATCCTGGCTGAATAACCAGGGACCAACTGCTCTCTGCCTCAATTTCCCTCTTGTAAAAAGGTTCCTAATAGTCTTCACCTTGATAATGAACACTGACTGAATGTCAGCTGTCATTCCACTTGTTGAAGGTTTGGGTGGGTTTCTACTTTCTGGAGAGACTCCTCCGCCCAGACCTACGGGAGGGAAATGGGGTCCCCTTTGGGGAGAGGTGGGAAGCCCTGTGGGGGGCTGGCAATACATACCCTCAGTGCTGGGTTGGCGCCATGCTCCAGCAGACACTTGGCAGCGCCCAGGCACAGGTTGGAGGCAGCGATGTGCAGGGCGGAGCCATGGTTGAAGTCACTGCACGTGGAGTTCACCACTAGGAAGCAGAGGGAGAGAAGGGTTCCGAGTGGGTGTGGGTCCCTGGCCCTCTTTCATTTCTTCAGCTTCCTCTCAGCTTGCCGGGAGCAGAAGCCAATGCCCTCCCATCCAGCTCCATCCCGCGCGATGCCTTATTGGGTCCTGGCCCTCTCTGGTCCAGGCCCTGGCTCCCCATGCCCTGGCCGCGTTCCTCCCATCTTTCCAGGATTCCTTTCTCTGGTGACTATCACCCCACCAAATCCCCCCAGCCAGGCACCTCCTTCGCCTCCTCCTCACCTCGAGGCCTTGCACCTTTAAGTAGCACGCGCACCAGGTCCGGCACGTCAAAATAGGCGGCGTAGTGAAGCGCGTTCATGTTGGTCCAGCGGCTGCGCAGCGTCACGTCGGCGCCCAGGGCCAGCAGCTGCTGCGAGAGACGCACAGCAGCAGCGGGATCCCCTGCGTGAGAGGAAAGCCTGGCTCAGCCCAGACCTTCTCGGCAGGGCGCAGGCCCAGAGCGCCTCGGGGCCTGAGCACTGCCTGTTATCACGGTGTTGGGGTGTGGGGGCCTGGGTTTGGGCGTCTCACCGACTCCGTGAGCTCCAGCCTTGCAAGCATAATGGAGCAGTGTCATGTCGGTGAGTCCATCACGATCGTTTACATGGCAGCCACGACGTAGAATCTGGGCATTGCAGAGCACCGGTGAGGGTTACTGAAAGGTAGGGGGATGACAGCCCCCTTGCCTGTCCAGCTTCCCCAGCTTTCCTACCTCATTGCCAATGACGTCTATCTTGTGCTGGACCTGGGGTACCCACTGGCGCACGATCGCGAACAGCTCCGGGATAGTGGTCTGGGGGTCAAACAGAATCTCCTGGCACGCAGGGTCATTGGGGTCGAAGAATGTGAAGGCTGGGATGGCAATAAGTCTGAGGTCAGGACAAGCTGGCACCCTCTTTAACAGGCCTTTAAGCACCTCCAAGCTGCCATTCAACCCATAGGCACTTCCTCTAAGGCCAGCAGGAGCACCCTTCAAGTCTGCACACCAACGAAGGGTGCAGGTGCTTCAGCCCACGGTTGCCCCGATAACATACAACCAGGGCTTGGCCAAAAAGCCAGAGTAAAAGAAAATATATAGGTGAAAAAGCCAGAAGTTCTGGCTTAAAAAAAACACTCTCCACATTTCAAATACTGCACAGCTCACAGACAATGCACCCAGGAGTGACCAGGATCCAACCTGTGGCTGGCCAAGGAGGCACGAAGACACCCCCACCTCCTCCCTACTAGGAGCTCTGCTCTCCATGGCAACATTACCACCCATCACTGGACCTGGCAGGTGGCAAGGACCCAGTGCAGGTTGAGAGACTAAGCCAATGACCAGATCCTACACAGCCCAGGGAAAGTACCGCATAGAAGGGGACCAGAAATCCAGAAACGGGCTTGTGGGCACCTTTAACAGCCTCAGTCGTGGCTCAGGACCCGCCCCCACCCCGGGCTCCTGTCTTGCTCAGTGCAGACCACACAGCCACGAGGTCCTACACAGTCTGTCTTCCTCATTACTCTGTTCCCTGGAGTTACAGCGGTCCTTTTGTCCTCCCAGGTCAGCTGTTGTCTCGGGTTTTGGGACTGGCTGCTTTTCCCAGCCAAGACAGGCTTCCCTCAGGTATACACATGGCTCTGTGCAAATGTCACCTCCTCCAGGACGCCTCCCCAGACCATCCTGTCTCCACCGGCATCCCTCCCCTTCTCCATCTCCCTCTCTAACTTGATTTGACCAGCAATACCTTTGTGTAACCTGTTTACTCCTTTCCCTCTCTCATCTCTCCCTCCTCTCATCCCCTGGTCTTGCCTGCATTTCCTTTCCCTTCCTGTCCCCTGTGCTCCCATGTCAGGTCCAGAAGCTCACATGCAGCTGATGTTCCGTCAGTCCTTGCTGACCGTTTCAGAGTCTACCCCAGCCTTCTCCCTGTCCTGTGCCACACCGCCAAATCATTTCATGTTATAAGAACCCCTCCCGGCTCTGCCAGCAGACTCTCCGATCTGTCCCAACCCACAGACCTCAGCCACCTGCTGGCAGAACTGCAAAGGGGACTTTCCCAGTCCCCTGCGTGAAGCCCCTCCCTGCCCTGCACAGTCAGATAATTGTCTCATTTTTCTGTCCCATTGAAGTGAACATGTAGTCAGTCTCTTGGATCCACTATGGATGGGTTGCCCTAGCCACAGATGGCATCTTCCCTGGAGATGCCAACTTTCTGAACCTGTTTGCTAGTTTCCAAGCCTCACAGCTGTTGGGGATTCCCAACCAGTGTCTCCTAAAACTCCCTCCTGAAGCCATCTCTGGCTGTACTCCATTCCTGTCTCCCCCGTAGCTGTTTAACACAGGGAGCTGTTAAAACCACAAATCAGGGGCCCATGCGGTAGCTCAACAGGCCAGTCCTTCACCTGCAAGCATTGGTATCACATATAGGCACCAGTCCTAGTCCCGCCTGCTTTGTAAATAACCAAATGCTTCCATCAGTTCAGAGAGAAGGCTCCCATCTCCACACCCTGCAGCCTCAGGGCCCTTCCTGCCGTCACCTCCTCTGAAAGCCACTTTCCCTGACCATTCCCCACTTGAGTCTCTCAAATGGTACTTCCTTAGGACAATCAGTCTTCTTCCTCCACACTCAAAGATTTGTTGTATTCATTTGAAAGAAAAAGCAGAGGTTATAGCAAGCGACAGATTTTTCAGCTGCTGGTTCACGCTCAAAATGACCACAATGACTGTAGCCAGGAGCCTGGAACTAACTTCATCCGGGTCTTCCTACATGTGTGGCAGGGGCCCAAGTACTTGGTCAGTCATCTGCTGCCTTCCCAGGTGCAGGGAGCTAAACTGGACATGGAACGGCCATGACTCTGAAGCAGCCACTTAACCCACTGCGCCACAACACCAGTTTCAGAAATGGAAACAGTTTTAAGGGGCCCTTACATCAAACAAGATTACTGGTTCAAATCTCTGCTACTCCACTTCCAATCCGGCTCTCTGCTGATGTGCCTGGGAAGGAGACCTGGATGGAGCTGCAGGCTCCAGGTCTTTGCAGCCATTTGGGGAGCAAATAGACAGACAATTTCTCCCTCTCTTTCTCTCCCTGCTTCTCTCTCTTTCTGCCTTTCAAATAAATAAATCTTGGGTTTTGAAAAAAAAAAAAAAGGAAAAGGCCCTTGCAACATCCTCTGCCTGGGAAGCACTACAGTTCTCAAGTCTTGCATTTTATATTGCATTCTTATCACTCTTACACTGTGTGGCTGGCTTTAAGGCCTGTTTGTTCCCACCTTCTTTGCAAAGACTGGGTCTCCCAGCTCCTAACCCAGGGCCAGGTCCACAGCGACTTTCAGCGTATGTTTGTTGAATGACTAAATGAGTGATGTGTCATGAATTAAGGATTCAGTTTAATTCAATTCCATTTCTCCCTTGAATGAATGAACTGATTAATGGGGTGGGGGTGGAGGGAGTTCTGCAGCCAAGCTCCTCAGGACCACCTTCAAACTCCCTAGAATCCCCACCATCATCACCACCACTGACAGAGCTCAGCCCACCCTCCTCCACCATTGGAGGGTCCAGGTCAGGGGAGTGATTACCGTAATCTTTGGGGAGGGGGGCGGGTGCCGAGGGGTGCACCACAGGCTTCTGCCGGCGCTCCTGGGTGGGGCTGGGGACCTCCTGGACTGGCTCATCCTCTTCCTCTTCTTCCTCCTCCTCCCCTCGGGGTGGTGGGGCCATTGGAGCGGGATCCGTCTTAGTCATGGTCCTCGGTGGCCCTCGGCAGGGGCGGAGGCAGACTTAGGGGCGGCCTGGAGGTCAGCTGGAGTGGGTGCCCAGAGGTTCCAGGGTCCAAGCACCCCCGAGTGCGTCCCCCCGCCCCCACCGCGCATCCGCCCCTGGATCCCTGCTCTCCATCCCAGAGCCCTGGCTTGGGCGCCCAGTGCCTGCCACCTGCCAGGGGCCCAGCCTCCATTCTTCTCCCGCGTCTAGCCCCTTCGTGTCGGCGAAGGCCGCCCCCTCCCCGGGTTTGTTTATCTCGGGATGCAGGATGCTTCGCCCCTCCCCTTCTGCGCGGGCCTCCCCTCCCTTCCCATCTCACCTCTGGCTGGCTGGGGCCAGGGAGCAGAGCGAGATCTGCTGGAGCAGATCGCGGCAGGAACGGGGTGTCGGTGTCTGGGGGACGTGATGGGGAAGAAGAGGGAGACAGAGAAGGGGACGAGGCCCAGACACCGATGAGGGGGGATGGGGGTGGAGAGGGAGGGGCGCCGGCGGCGCATGCGCAGTGCTGCCACCACTAAACGCCAGGGAGAGCCTAAGAGGCCGCTGGCACCGTGTCCATCAGGGGATGGAGCAGCGATGGAAAGGCGCCAGACACGGAGGATCCTGAGAGCAAGAGCGAGCCACGGCGCAGAGTGTGAAAGCGAGCACAAGGCCTTTAGCTATCTTCCCTGCAAACCAGGCCACTCAAAACCAGTGACTTCGGGGTGGGTTGTTGATGGATGCCCGCTCACTGGCTCTCTAGCTCTGGAACGCCAGACCCAACCCATGGCCCCGGGCCCGACCTTTGTAACGGGCATCTCAGAACCGTGCTTCTGTCTGGACTCCTATCGCCATTGCACCCTCCTCATTATCATTCAGTTTGCCCTCAGCATTTAAGCAGGTCCAGAGAGGTTAAGTCACTTGCCTGAGGGTACCCAGCAAGGCGATCATGAAGCGGAAATTAAAGTTAACCACCGTGCCACTTGGCTGTAGCTTCTTCAGGGACAAACTTGCTGACAGACCCTTCAAACCCACTCAGAACCTGTGTCTCCTCCCCCCACGGGGGACAAGGGGGCTACTGGCTCCCTTGTTCTGGCTTGGCTGCATATAGGACCTGGCTGTTGTTGCTGCTCTGCCTCAGATCACCCCAGCCTGAACAAGCTGGGTGGCTTTGCTTTCTCACCTTGTCCTTCTAACACAGCCCAGTAGCTCCATTACGAAGATATTTCCAGAAGCCACACCCCCACCCAACCCCAGGTCCTCATCCTGGCCTATCTATCCTGTATCATTGCCCACTTGCACCATGACAGCAGCTTCCTCCAGGTCTCCCACGTGGCTGCAGGGTCCCAAGGCTTTGGGCCGTCGTCTAACAACAGACAACAAGCAGGGAGCTGGATGGGAAGTGGAGCTGCTGGGATTAGAACCGGCGCCCATATGGGATCCTGGCATGTTGGAGGTGAGGATTTTAGCCACTAGGCCACCACGCTGGGCCCTCACTCAGACTTGATAGTGCTTTTCATGATCTGAACCTGACCGGGCTTATTTGTTTGCCAAGCCATCTCCTCAAGCAAAATGCAAGCACCCTGAGGGCAGTGATGTTTTCCAGCCATGTGCACTGCTGGGTCCCCAGTTAGGTGCACAGGTGGCCATGGGCACAAGGGGCCCAGCTGATCAGGGTTCAGTTCTCCTTTCCCAAACAACCCTGGTTCTGCTCAGAAGTCATTATACACTGGAGAGATGTGAGCGGGTGGTGGCAGGGGACCCAGGACCAGGAGAGACTTGGGCCCAGCTCATGGGGTTTCCAGGAGAGGGTTGATAGGAGGCAAATGTTTGAGGGAGGCTCTGCTACTCAGCAGACATGGGCAGCAGAGAGTCAAGCCCAGGTGTGAGAAGTGTCTTCCATCTTTTGTCTCTCAGTGGTGCACATGCTGGTCCTCAGGCAGTGTAGGTCCGTGTGACCAGGAGGTCAGGCTTGGCATCCATGTGGGAAGTGTGGGGCCCTGACTGAGGACCACAGTTAGGCCGGGCCGCCCACAGATGACAGTGACCGTTTGGGATTTCACGGATCCTGGGAACTGCACCATCCCAAGCAGAGAGATAAAAGTGAGGGACATGGTGGAGCGAGAGGGAGACAGACCAGGAGGCCGCAGGAGGCAGGGTGTCAGCAAACAGAGGGAAGTAGATGCAAGTCATGGGAGAGAAAAGAAGGGTGGGGAAGCGAGGAGAGTGATGTGGGGGACGGACAAGGGACACATGTGAGAGACAGGTGAGGTACAAGGGAAGATGGAATGAGGAAGGGCACAGATACAGGGGTACAGAGGGAGGCAGATGAACAGCCAAGGTGGGCAGGGGATCAGAAATATGGGGCATGTGAGAGGAGGAAATTGGTGATCGAGTAAGAGAGTAGAAGACAGTGATTGAAAGGGGGAAGCAAGTGAGTTGGGGAAGAGGGAGAGAGAGCGAGCTCAGAGCTCCTGGCAAGTAACACAAACAGCTCCAGGCCTCCGAAGAAGTCTGCCCCCAGACCCTGTCTCTGTGTAACACAAGTCCCCCCTGCCCCGCCCCAGTCTCAAATCCAGGGACAGCCCCGGCTAAAGCTGCACTGATCACTGTTACCTGGAACTGGAACCCAGTTAAGCCAGTTCTGTGACCACTAGGAAGCGCTGAGGCTGAATCCTGCACTACCTGTGGGTCATCGCAAACTCTGGCTGTCCGAGTGAGACACCTTGGGTATGGAGATTCCTGGCGGCTCTTTTCTGAACCCTCCCTCCCTCCCTCAAATCATGCTCTAGCTCAGTCTGGATAGTCTCCCATCCAGGTGGGGCTGGGAGGACCTTGGCTGCTGGGTGTGGGACCTCAAGCTTGGCCCTGGGGCTTTGAACAGGGGGAAGGCTTGGGCAAACACAGATCTTCTAGGACATGCCACATCTCCCCATTCCTCTGCCACTCCTCCAGAACCCCTCCACCTCAACCAATCAAACTACAGAAGCCAAGGGCATTCAATGAGGCCTTGGGGCAGGGGCGGCATGCTGCAAACAAGCGGGGAGCAGCGCTCAGTGCACTGGCTGCCTCTGGATCAGACTCCTGGGACTGGACCCCGAATCTGCTGCTTCCTGGCTGCCTGACTCTGGACGAGTTAAGGGACTGCCATGCCTCCTTTTTTCATCTGTAAAATGGGCACAACCACACCATCCTGCTCATGTAAGATTTTGCCAATTACTTAACTCAGTGGCAGGCTCCCAGCAAGAGCTCCTAAAGGATTATTAGCCAACAGAGCAGCAGGTACTCGGCTCCAATCAGTAAGTACTTAGCATCATCAGCTTCCTCCCACCACTCTCCAAATTAAAGCTGGCAACTTGGAAACGCGTGCCAGGTTCTGGGTTTTACACATGGGGGTTCAGGTTAGCAAAAGCATACTGGCTGGGCTGGCAGAGCTGCTGTGGTTGTGCCGGGGCAGGTAGGCAGCACTCACCGCGCCCACCAGGCCTCTGTGCGCCCGCGCCTGCAAGCTCTGCCCGCGCAGCTGCTGGGCCAGCTGCTGCAGAATCCGCAGCTGTGCCCGGTGCCATGCATGGCACCACTGCAGCCTTCGCACCTGCGGCTGTAGCACTCTTGGCGCCGTGCCCAGCCCAGCCCAGCCCAGGCGACCTGGGCCGGATACGGCTCCAAGGGAGTGGGAGGAAGGGCCAAGGGGGTCAGGAGCGCAGTGGTGGCCACCGGGCCCCTGGAGGAAGGTTCCAGCACCACCAGGCACACGGGATTGAGGGACCTCAGGGCAGCCGGGAGGTCTCTTGCGGAGGCGTTGCAGCTGGCTTTTTGGGTCCCTTCTGCTGGGTCTAGAAGTCAGGGTAGGGAACGAGAAGTGATGGGGCTGAGCTCCAAGGAGGCTGACCTAAGGAGGTAAGGGTTCAGGGGTCAGTCTGCAAGAGTGCTTCTCCAAGGTAAGGTCGGTCTTCAGGAAAGGAACAGGATTTCCTCGAAAGGGGAGGGCTGAGGGTCAGACTCTGAGAGGGAATTCTCTTGGTCTTGGCAAGCTGGAGACCAGACCGTAGCATTGCGTTCAGGGAAGGGTGGGGAAAGCCGAGGGGTGTCACACTCCAGCAGCAGTAACCGCCCAGCGCTCACCTGGGCAGGTGGCGCCTGGGAGAAGATGGAGGGCACTGCGTCTGGCCGCAGGTAGTGCACACCCCAGCGCTACTGGAAAACAGGAGGGAGTGAAGCGCTCGCTGCACAGGTGCTGGTGGCAGCCGGGCACCCAGTGCTCACGGCCCATGCGCCGCAGCCAGGGCTGCTGCCGCGGCCTATCCTTCAGTGGGAACCTGTGACGGAAGGGGGTGGGGTGGGGTGGGGTCAGCAGGTCAGTGCCATTAGGTGTCCAGTCCATTCTCATCCCACACACACACCATTTTTTCCTGCACATGAACTTCAGGGAGTGTATAAATCTAGAATGTGAGAGATGATGTTAAGTGAAAGGAGCTGCCCAGAGAGAGACAAATGCTGTTGATCCCAGTTAATGAGGTGCTTGGAGTAGTCAAATTATAAACACAGAGTAGAATGGTGCTTGCCAGGTTCTGGTAACAGAATACAGAACTGTTTAATGGAGACAGAGTTCTAGTTTCACAAAGGAGAGTATTCTGCACGGTGGCTGGCTGACAATGTAAATATACTTAACACTATTGGACCGTATACTTATAAACGGCTAGTATGGGGACTGACACTGTGCTGTGGCAGGCTAAGTCTCCACCTGTGGTGCCAGCATCCCATGTGGGTGACGGTTTGTGACCCAGATGTCCCACTTCTGACCCAGCTCTCTGCTTGTGTCCTGAGAAAGCAGCAGAGAATGGCCCAAAGCATCCAGATGGGAGACCTGGAGGAGGTTCCTGGCTTCAGACTGGCTCAGCTTTGGCCATTGCAGCCATTTGGGAAGTGAAACAGCAGATGGAAACTCTCTCTCTATCCGCCTAATTCTGCCTTCCAAATAAAAAATAAAATTTAAAAATGGTTAAGATGCAGCTGATATTGTGGCACAGAGGGTTAAGCCAGCACTTGCTATGCCCACATCCCACATAGGAGTACTTGTTCAAATCCCAACTGTTCCACTTCTGATTTGTTTTCCTGATAATATGTGTGGGAAGGCCTGGCTACCTGGACCTCGGCCATCAACATGGGAGATGTGGAGTTCTGGTGCCAGTCTGGCCCGGCTGTGGCTGCTGGAGCATTTGGGGAATGAACCAGTGGATGGAAGACTGCTCTCTCTTTCTCCATCAAATAAACACATCAATCTTAAAATGATGAAGATGGGGCCTGGCGCAGTAGCCTAGCATCTAAAGTCCTTTCCTTGCATCTGCTGGAATCTCATATGGGCGCCAGTTCTAATCCTGGTGGCCCTGCTTCCCATCCAGCTCCCTGCTTGTGGCCTGGGAAAGCAATTGAGAATGGCCAAAGCCTTGGGACCCTGCACCCACGTGGGAGACCCAGAAGAGGCTCTGGGCTCCTGGCTTTGGATTGGCACAGCTCTGGCTGTTGTAGCTACTTGGGGAATGAATCAGCAGATGGAAGATCTTCCTTGTCTCTCCTCCTCTTTGTATGTCTCACTTTCCAATTAATTAATTAATTAGTTAATCATAAAAAAACAATGAAGATGGTAGTTTTGTGTGATGTGTATTTTATAATTACAAATAATAAATGTAAAAGTGTCAATAACTGAAAAAAAAAAAAGCTTTCTTAATGGGAGAAGGAGAGGGTGGGGACTCTCTGGCAAGGCATCCTATACAGGCACACCAGTGTTCCCTAGTGTATCTAGGTGTCACTTGGCCCTAGCAGCCATCCTGCACTCTTTCTTTGGGCAGTTGGGCCACAGGTGGCCATGGTAAAAGGTCATGTCCAGCCTCGATTGCAGCCAGGTACAGCCACATGAAGATCAGGAAAATCTGTCCCCTGGCAGCAGTATGATGTGAAATGTGTATAGTTACAACTGCTCGACTTGGGGACAGTTTGTTATGCAGCGCTACATAACCAAAATAGGCAATCAAATACAGCCCACCTTCACAAGACCACCTTCCAAACTGGTGACAGTACTTCCTGTTTATCTTAAAGAAACCTGAAAGTGGGCCTGGCGTGGTGGCCTAGCGCCTAAAGTCCTTGCCTTGAACATTCCAGGATCCCGTATGGGCGCCGGTTCTAACCCCAACGGCCCTGCCTCCCATCCTGCTCCCTGCTTGTGGCCTGGGAAAGCAGTCAAGGACGGCCTAAGCCTTGGGACCCTGCACCCGTGTGGGAGACCTAGAAGAGCTCCTGGCTCCTGGTTTCAGATTGGCTTACTGGTGGCATCAGCCATTGCGGCCACTTGGGGAGTGAATCATCTGATGGAAGATCTTCCTCTCTGTCTCTCCACCTCTCTGTATATCCACCTTTCCAATAAAAATAAATCTTAAAAAAATTCTAAAACATAAAACACATGCCCTTATCTGATGAAGATTGCATGCCTCTTTTTTTTTGAGTAAAGTATGTATGTATGTGTGTATTTATGTGTGTATGCATTTGAAAGGCACAGTTGCAGAGAGCAGAGAGCAAGAAAGAGAGCAAGCTTCCATCTGCTGGTTTGGGTTCATTTCCCAGTTCATCATGATGGCCCAGGGCTGGGTCAGGCCAAAGCCAGGAACCTGAAATATCACTTGATCTTTGCCGAAAGGCCGAGAAGCAATGGAACCTGAAATATCATATTTAGGTCTCCCATGTGGCTGGCAGAGGCCCAAGCACTTGGGCCATTGAATGCTGCTTCTCTAGGCACTCACATGGCATGACGGCATTGTAAGAGATTGCTTAGCCCAGTGTGCCACAAGGCAGGCCCCCTCTCTCCTTATTGAAACAAGAAAAAAAAAAAAAGATCAATGTTGGAGAATGGAGACAATACCATGTACAGAAGATGGGGTGAGTGCAGCTGTCACACAGAACGTGAAGGCACTCCGGGGCATATATTACAGCAAAAAGCAAATAAAGGGCTTTGGTGATTCCAGCAACTATGGTAGGGTAAGCTGAATCAAGGCCCTTAGAGACGCTCATGCCCCTGTTCCTAAAATCTGTGAATACCACCTCAGGTGACAAAAGATATGATTAAGTTAGATCTCTGGGATGGGAAATTCCTCCTAGCTCATCCCAACTGGCCCCAAATGGAAATACAAGAATCCCTCTGAAGGGAGATGTTCCCATAGGCATAAAAGATGGCATGTGAATTTAGAGGCCCACTGCCCTCACTCGTCAGCCTCTACCACAAGCCTATGATCTGAGGGCTCTTGCTCTTTCCAACTCGACCCATTCCCATGCACTTCCTTCCCAGTTGGGAACCTCTTCAGGCTCCCATGTGCCCTTCCAATGGTCGCTTTATACAGAAACAAGCAACTCTGGTGATACGTTCTTAGTGTTCTGTTATTTTGGTATTTGTTTCCCATGATTAACAATAAACATATGTGTTGGCTTTTGAAACAAGAGAAATCATTCTTTAACAGTTCTGGAAGCTAGGAGTCTGTTTCTTGGGCCAAAGTCAAAGGTGTTGATGGGACTGTGCTCCTGGGGAGAGCAGGGGAGAAGCTGTCCCTTGCATGTTTCAGCTGCTGGCGGCTGCAGGCATTTCTTGGCTTGTGACCACATTGCAGTCTCTGTAAATTCACATGCCATCTTTTATGCCTATGGGAACATCCCTCCTCTCTGTATATCTGACTTTGAAATGAAAATAAAATCAATCTTAAAAAAAAAAAAAAGAATTGTGCATGACAGATCAAAACCAGGCTTCGAGTGCGACGTGGACCCTAGGATCCTGACCCCTTTGGAAGTAGTAGAGTTTAGATGGATGTGGAATACTGGGGTCTCAACCCCCTTCCCTGAAACTCCACTTGGGCTGCTTGTCCATGTCAGAGCAACTCCAGGCCAAACAGACGCTTCCTTCTTACTGACATGATATTGGCTCTGATTCCTGGTCACAGGGCAGGAGTCAATCAGCAGGGGAGCTCTGCCTGTTTGCACCTGCACCAGATCCCCAAGAGAAAGTATTTTTTTCCCTGTTAATCCTTCAGCTAGCTTTTCTGGTGCCTGTGAGGGACACCAGGTTTCTTACAGGCCAGGCTAATTTTGACTTTTTCAAATCTCAAGAAAGAGGGAAGGATGAGTAGAGCCATCACCGAAGAGGTGGAAAAGGCTGTGAAAGCTTTGAGGGGAGAGGGAAGTGGAGTGACAGACTAGATTAGTTGAGAACTTTTTGAATCCACGGAGAAGGCTGGTGGGCAGGTGTAGACCCTTCCACGGCCTGGACACGTGCTTCCGACTTCCGCTTCAATCGCGCCCTGCACTACCTGTGGTTCATTGCTTGCCCCTGCTGGCTCACACACCTGCACTTAACGCTGGGGACACCTTCTCTTGACCACTCCAACTGTCCCAGGGCCCCCTCCGCCTCCCTCAAGCTCCGCCCCACGATAGCATTCACTTCCGGTGTCCTTCCTGTGTCCCACCACAGCCTGAGACCCTACTGTGTGTGAGGTGTGATCTCTAAACTGGAGTGGGGTGGTGACAGGCCGGCACCCCGGCTCTGACTTCTGGTACCGCAGGCCTCGGGACCAGACATGGCCCAAAACTTGAAGGACTTGGCGGAATGGCTGCCCACCGGACCCGGGACGTAGGCAGGGCGCTGAAGCTGCTGCTGGGGGCCGGTGCAGTTCCAGTACCCTATAATCCATGGCATTAGGGCCAGGCCCCGAAAAATCTCGTCCCCCACAGGCTCCAAAGACCTGCAGGTGGTGAACATCTCCCTGTGAGTGCTGTCTCACCCAATGCCCAGGAGCTCCCCAGCATATACCAGTGCCTCGGGCTGGACTTCAAGGAGCAAGTGCTGCCATCCATCGTCAATGAGGTGCTCAACAGGGTGACGACCAAGTTCAATGCCTCACAGCTCATCACCCAGAGAGCCCAGGTCTCTCTGCTGATCCGGCGCGAGCTGACAGAACGGGCCAAGGACTTCAGCCTCATCCTGGACGATGTGGCCATCACAGAGCTGAGCTTCAGCCGAGAGTACATGGCCACTGTGGAAGCCAAGCAAATGGCCCAGCAAGAGGCCCAGCGGGCCCAGTTCTTGGTGGAAAAGGCCAAAGAGGAACAGAGACAGAAGATTGTGCAGGCCGAGGGCGAGGCTGAGGCCACCAAGATACTTGGAGAGGGACTGAGCAAGAACCCCGGCTACATCAAACGGTACAAGATCCGGCTGCTCAAAACATCTCCAAGACGGTCGCTGCGTCACAGAACCAAATATATCTCACAGCAGACAACCTCATGCTGAACCTACACGATGAGAGTTTCTCGGGGAAGTGACAGCCTCAGCAAGGGTAAGAAATGAGCCTGGTAACCAAGAACTGTCCCCAGAGAGGAAGTGGTGTTAGAGTGTTGGTGTAATGTTAGTATGTTAGAATGTTAAGAATATTAGTGTTAGGTGATATTAGGCCCTTTGGGGTGAGAAGCCACTACTTTGGTAGGTCAGAAGGCTCCTGCACTGTGGGAAAGCTCCACTTTAGTGATAAATCTGTCTCCCTTGTTTCTTTGTGAACTTATCTACCATCTAACCCGGGTGCAGGAAGGCAGGGGCACAGTTCCCTGGTCCCAGGGACTGGAGGAACCATAAAGATAAGGGTGCCAGGATGGGATGAGCTGTAAATAAGTGTGGGAGCGTAAACAATAAGTGTGGGAATGTAAACAATGAGTGTGAAAACAGAACAGACTGCTTGCACCTAAATTTGTTACTTTTGAGTTGACTTTGATATGTTACAGCCAAAACGGGGTGTATAATCTCCAGCCTTATGTTAAGTCGGGGTCCGATCCACTTGGCTGGCATGTGTGCCCTAAGTACGATCTGACCCCAGCATGCTGGCACAATAAACTCTGTTTGCTTTTTGCATTACCAGCGAGACTCTTTGTCGTTTTCTGGGAGTTGACTAGCTTGCACCCTAATGTCCGGGGGGAGCTCTGGCCCGGACTCTAAAGTGGATGTCTGTTCCTCCAGTTCTCAAGAAGCGAAGGCGGCCAACCCAGCCCACCCCCCACCCCCACTACCTCGTGACGGTCCCCTCTGCACTCACCCCCAGCGCGCTGAGATTAAGTCTGAGGAGTTGGGGAAATGATGGCCAGGGATACTGGAACCGTGTGATTTCTCAGTGATTTCCTACAGTAGTGGGAGGAAATCACCACCATCCCAGGAATTCTCAATAAATGTTTATTGCTTTAAAAAAAAAAAAAAGCTCACGGGGCGGTTGTCCGCGCCCAGTCGGTCGGCAGTGTTGGAGCAGTTCGGAGCCCTTGCAGTACTTGGGCATGGCTACTCAGCTCCGTTGAGTCCAGCCTGGGCAGCGGCGGCAGGATCTCTCCCGCCTCACGTGACGGCGCTAGTGCCTCGTCACGTGACGGGAGCGGGGCAGGAGCGGAAGACGCCTGCGTTCTAGATGTCCCCTCCGCGTGACTACAGCTAACGCCCTTGTCACGTGGCGAATAGGGCTCAGCCAAGCCTTCGGCGCAAAGCCTTGTCCCCAACTTTCGTCACGTGATTAGGGAGAAGTGGCGTCACGGCGCGTCTGCGCGTGCGCTACACTAATCCAGTGGCCGGTCAGTCTTATTTCCGCTTCGCCCAATGCGCACATCCGGGCGACAGCTCCGTCGCGATAGTCGCCCTGAGTGGCCGAGGAAGGCGGGGGCCTTAGCCTTGTAAAAAGTGAAACCTGGTCGTTTCTGTGAATGATGAAACCCCAGAGTGAAGGAGAAACACCCAGACGCTCGCTCCAGCCCTGACCGGCTCCGCCCGCCCCTCAGCCCCTATTGGTTAGAAGCGCCGCCCGGCAGCCCTGAGATTGGCCAGACGCGCGGCCAATGGGCGGCCGCGCCGGTTTTCCCGCGGCCGTTCGCTATTTGAGCGGGTCGTGGCAGCCGGGACGGTTAGGGAGTGTAACGGTCGTAGGTGTGCGGCGCCGCGATGGCGGCCTCAGGGCCCGGCGGCTACGGGCGGAATGACGCGGTCGAGAAGCTGCCAACTGTCATGGCGGGAGTTCCGGCGCGGAAAGGCCAGTCCTCTCCGCCCCCAGCCCCACCGCTCTGCCTGCGGCGGCGGACGCGACTGTCAGCGGCGCCCGAGGACATGGTACAAAACCGGGTGAGGCTACCCCAGGTCCAGGCTTCCCCGGGCCGCCCTCGGGCCCCGCCCCCAGCCGTCGGCTCCGCCCTCCTGGTCCTCGGCTCCGCCCCCAGCCCTCGGCTCCGCCCCGCCCTCCAGCCCCGCAGCCCTCGGGTCGCCCCAGGCTCCGCCTCTCTCTCCCTCAGGCTCCGCCCCTCCCGCCAAGACTCCTCCCACGTTCCTGTTCCTTGCTTAGCTACCGGCTGTCCCATCTTTCATGGCTTCATCCGTCTTCAGCGTTGCAGCGTTCCCGGGCTTCCTGCCGGGTTCCTACCCGTCAGAATGCAATTTGCCGTAGCAGATCCCAGCCCAGCCTAGATTTCCCGGGTATACCTTGAGCCTCTGTCTCTCTGGGCACTAACTAACACTTTTGTGGATCTCAAATCCCTTGGGTCTTTTGAAGCCCTTACCCAAGTTCCAATCTTTTCCTGGGATTCTGTTCTGCTTTCTCCTACTCTTTGTCTTTCTCTGCTCCGATAACGGGTCCCCATTGAATATTCCCACCCCGAACTGTGGGGAGGAGGTAGTTATGTGTAAAATGTCAGTTTTGCGGCCAGTGATTTTGATGTAGGTAGGAGTTCGTTGCGGCAGCAAGTCTGTCTGTGTGCTAGCCTCCTGGCCTGCCTCTTTGTCATCCCTTGGGTCTCAACCTGAATATCTCTGCCCTGAGAGGCCCACATGCCCCAGTCTAAAGCTGAACCCCATTGTAATTGCTCACCCAGAAACGTGTGCTTCAGAGCCCTTACCTCGTGTGTTCCCAAGAGCTGGTAGACTGTGTGTTGGAGAATGGCAGGAACCAATTCAGAAAGGAGTATAGCAGGGTGGTGAGGAGCACAGCCTCCCCGGGGCCTGGACTTGCCTGAGTTTGAACTTCAGTGCGGTTCCTCCGAGCAGGCAGTGGACTGTTCCCGGCCTTGACACTGTCATCTGTAAAGTGAGAATAGTCGTGTGGAAGCCTCCTGTGAGTTGAACATAAGGAGGACATCAGCTCATCTGGCACTCCCTGAGCGTGCTTTGGGCGTTAGCTGATGCTGAGCCTGTGCGTGATGGCATGTCTGTACGCTTTTCTGGTGTGGCTGCCCAGCACACAGGCCTGGCTGGCGAAAGCCCTGGTCTGCAAATGACCATTCCACTAGCGCTCGGTGAGGCTAATTGACAGATGAAGCCCCGAGGGAGCCTGGTTTTCTGTCTTAGAGTCCTGATGAGTCCCCTTCCTGGACCCCCACTTCCTCGTCTGGAGGAAAGGCTTCATGATGACAGAGGCCAAAGCACAGGGTCATTGTGAACAGTGAAGAAGTTTCTACGGATAGAGGAATTTGAAGAATGCTTAGATCCTGGAAAAGGCTCAGTAAACACTAGCTAGTGTTGTGTTTGCTCTTAAATTCTGAGGCCCAGAACTTTGTGGAGAATAACTATTCAAAATATGAAAATGCCACAATTGTATTAGTTCACACTTGTAGCAGTTGTTTTGGGGCAGGCCTTTGGTGCAGCGCAGAAGTCTCTCTTGGGGCGCCCACATGCCATCTCGGTGCACCTGATCCAGCTTCCTGCACTGCACACGCAGGCAGGCAGCAGGTGGTGGCTACAGCACTTCGGTCCCTCACCCATGGGAGAGATCCAGATTGAGTGCTGGGCTCCTGGTGCAAGCCCTGCTATTGTAAGTACTCAGAGAGTAACCCAGTAGATGGAATATTTCTCTCTGTGTCTCTTTGCCTTTCAGACAAAATGAAAAAGTATTCTTAAAAATATTAAATAAATAAATTGAATAAATTGTAACAGTTAGCTTACCTGCAGAGTTAAAACAATTTTTAACTCTGCAAATGTTATAATAAGCTTTTTTCCTTTTTTTTTTTTTTTAAGATTTACTTATTTTTATTGGAAAGGCAGATTTACAGAGGAAGGGAGGTTCAGAAAGAAAGATCTTCCATCCACTGATTCACTTCCCAAATGGCAGTAATGGTAGGAGCTGAGCTGATCCAAAGCCAGGAGCCCGGAGCTTCTTCTGGATCTCCCATGTGGGTGCAGGGTCCCAAGGCTTTGGGCCGTCCTCTACTGCTTTCCCAGGCCACAAGGAAGGCGTTGGATGGGAAGTGGAGTAGCTGGGACATGAACCAGTGTCCATATGGGATCCTGGCCATTGCAAGGTGAGGTTTAGCCTCTAGGGCATTGCACTGGCCCCTGTTATAAGCTTTGAAGCAGTGTGTAAACCCAGTCATCAGGCTTATGGACCATAAAAGGACCTCAGATTGTAAATGGGATTATTCACTGTTGCTAATTAAAGCTTCTAGAACCTCTAGAGACTCATTTAGCTCTCTGCCAGTCTTCCCTTCGGGTCCAGTGCTGGCTTTGGAGCCAGGCTGCTTAGGTTTGTACTTCCACCTCTCACTCCTGGAATAGAATCTGTGTCTTTTTCAATGAAACAGACATGGTAACAGTGTCAACTCTGTGATCCATGTTAAAGTTCTTAGAAACCTATTCAGCAGTTGCCTTCTTAGCTTGAGATTGTCCCCCTTCTGCATTCCCAGTCCCCTCCTCTGCTCTGTTTCTCTCTGCCACTCCTATTATGTCACCTGACACCTATTTGACGTATTGATTCTGTTCATCCCCATCATTGCCACCTGCACGGGAACAGGAGTCTGTGTCTTCCTCACCACTCTGTGCCTTTAATCCAGCACAAGGCAATGGTGAAAACAAGTGCTGGCTGCTGGCAGGTGAGCTGTGACCACAGCTCTGTGCATACTGTGTATAGCAAGAACAGAATGGGTGGCCGAGGCCGCTGTACCAAGTGGGGCCCGATGAAACAGGTGCTTCTCACTCGGGCCTTTTCTTTGCAGGTGTCCCTTGAGAAGGTCCTTGGCATTACAGCCCAGAACAGCAGTGGTCTAACCTGTGACCCGGCCACAGGTCACGTGGCCTACTTGGCAGGGTAAGCAAATGGATAGGCTTCAGCATTTAATTACCACAAGGGAATTTGGAGCCTGAAGCCATCAGCAAATCTCTGTGGGCCTCAGCCTTCTTATCTATAGAATGTGAGTCACACAGCCCTGCTGTGGCGAACACGCCATAGACCCATCAGCATCTAGAACATGTCTGTGGGAGGTGGCAGCCATTCTAGGAAAGTCAGGTAGTTAAAACCTGCCTCGTGGTGTTGGGTTACCTGGGTTGGTGACTCAACTCTACTG